GACACCGCGGCCGTGAGCCCCGGGCCCTCCAGGGGCTTGTGGCCCGTGCATCTGACCCTGCCCTTCGGAGGGGCACACGGAGGCCCTCCGCCTCCGGAGGGAATTCTGCGTCTTGCTGTGCTTTGGTTCCCATTACCGCTCTTGGCTCCTCCTCTGTGAAGACTCCGGTGGACCTGGAGCCCTTCCCTGAGGCTGCTGCTGCCGGCCACCCGCCCAGCCCGCCTTCACGGGGTGGCGGGCGGGGGCTGGGCAGCTGCAGGGGGAGGCGTCCAGCGCCTGGCCGCCAGGATGTGAGTGGGACCGGTAGCAGCTTCTGCCCAGATGAGAGTGAGATTGGAGGGAGGGCTTTCAGAGTGGCCTCTGGGTGACAGAGGCCCGTGGACCTCGCCGGCCAGGCTCTGGGGACCGGGTCCTTGTGACTGTGCCCCCGTGGGAGCTAGTGCAGCGTGGTGACTGCCCCAGCCCCAGCCAGAGGCAGATGCACACACGGCTGGTGTGACCTGGCGCACGTGCAGGCCGCAGCTCTCGGATGTCACGTGGCTGTCACTGTCGCCGCTGAGCCGGCAGCGCCAGGCAGGGAGTGGAGGACCCAAGCGCGCGTGCCCTCACTGTAGGCTGCCTCCTTTCGTCCCCCTCTTCCTCCTCGGACCTGTGGCATTTCGTGCATAAACCAGGTGATCCGTCACCACCTTATCTCAGCTTTGCTTTTCTAAACCTGTGACTAGCGCTGATTATTGCGAAGCCTGCCTCCAAAGACCCTGAAAGCCACTACTTTCTCTTGCTCTGCTGCCCGTTCCTTGGGAAGACCTGGTTGCATTCTAAAATCGCCATGAATTCCATGAGAAGAGTGCTGGTGGGGGGACGCGGGGCGTGGAGGAAGCCCTGTCACCCTGAGAGGCTGAGGTGCGTGTGGTTGTGCCGGCAGGTTGATGGTCTCGGGGTCAGCTGCGCTGCCCCTGCCCGTGCTGGAGAAGTGGAAGTGTGCCACCGGCCACACCCTGCTGGAGAGGTACGGGATGACGGAGATTGGCATGGCCCTGTCCAACCCCCTGGCCACAGCTCGCCTGCCAGGTACGCACAGGCCCGCCAGCCGTGTCCCCTGCGCTGAGCCCTCGGTGGCCCAGGCGTGGAGGAGGCTGCCCTGACGGGTGGTGGGGTAGTAGGTGGGAATAACAGGAACCACGAGAAGCCACGTGCTTGGCAGAGGGCCTCCCACGGGCGCTGTTGCCCAGACTGGGCCGCCCCGGGAGAACTGCCACCGCAGGCTGGCAGCAGCAGGAGCCATGGCGGCACCCCGCCTGCGCCTGGCCGCCTGCACGCGCCTGGGCGGCCCTGCTGCTGTGGGCGGTGCTGCCCTTGGTCTTGCTGCGCAGCCTCCTCTAGGACATCCCATGCGCAGGCCTCAGGCCGCAGATCCCTGATGGGAGCCTGCAGGCGGAGCCCGAGGCCTGAGACGCACACGTGTTCTGTTCCGGGCCCCTGTCCACCCCCCACGGTCAGTCCCCGCCAGTTGGTCCAAAATAGAAGTGGTGTCTCGGAAGCGAAAGTGAAACCGTCTCTACCTGTGCTCCTGCCTGTCCACCCACGCGTCCCTTCCCGCGTCAGGTCTGTGTCACTGCCATCTCTCCCGGCGTGGAGGCGGTTTCACGGTCTCTGAGCTCCGCTTCTGTGGTCAGCACCTCCCCGGCCCAGGCCGGGCGAGCATTGACCTGGCTTCTCTCCCTGAGCTGTGCTGCTTCTGGGACATGGAGACGAAGCCTCCGGGACCTCCTTCTGGGTCTGGCTTCTCTCAGCAGGACGCGCTTGAGGCACCCTGTGCCGGGCAGTGTCCGTGGTGTGGACGGGCCACCACTGGAGGACACAAGGCTGTGTCTAGTTTTGGACAGTTCCCAGCCCGGCTGTTGTAAATGTGTGCAGGTCTGTGTGAGCACGTCCGTATTTCTCACGGGGAGACACCCCGGAGTGCACTTGCTGGGTCAGAAGGTGAGTCTTAACTTTCTGAGAAGCTGCAGGCTGCCCACAGAACAGCCGGGTACAGGGAGGGTCTTACCCTGCTGACACAGGAGGGCCCGGGATGCCACACAGACAGTGGGTGTCTGCGTGGTCAGACCGTGACACCCTCTGTCGGGCTGAGTCCGGAGGAAGAGAAGGGCCAAGAGATGGACAGAGAACCTTCTGGGCCTTAAGGAGAGCAAACAGGCTGAGGGCTAGACCTGGAAAGACGGGTCGCAGCGGCAAAGGGTGGGTCTGGACCGTCTGTGGAAAGGTGGAGGGTGGGGTGCGTGGAGGGGCCGGAGACCTGGCCAGCCCCTGTGCAGAAGGAGGGGCCCAAACACTCTTGAAACCCCAGGCTTATGGGCAGAAATTCTGGAATCTTAAATTATGGCCGCAGCCCCTCTGCAGACTCAGAGACGGTGCGGGACAGCACAGAGGCCGCGCGCGCCTCCTGCGCACAGGGCACCAGGCACCCCGTAGGCCTCTCACATCCGTGCGGGGCGTCTTCAGTCTGAAGGAGCCCTCAACCTTGAACCCCTGAAGAAGCCCCTGAGCACCGTCCCTGGAGAGATCAGGCAGAGGGGCTTCTCTGCGCCCCCGACTCCCGTGCCTGGCCCTTCCAGCCGGAGGCCCTGGACTCGTGTGGGAGCCCGGCCTGTGTCCCCATCACACTCAGGACATGGCGGCTCCTCCCCGGGCACAGCGCTGCTCCTGTGGTCGCACCAACCACCCCAGGGCTCACTGCAGGCTCCCTGACCGCGCGAGGGGCATGCGGCCGAGTGCAGCTCCGGGTCAGTTACCCGAGGGGCACGGCTAAATCAGCCACCCGGCAGGACCTGATGCTCTAATTGGAGGCTGAGATCAGACGTGGGCTCCGTGGGGCCCGGACAGGAGCGGCTTCCTTCTCTCCAACCCAGACCCGCCGCAGGGCCCGCAAGCCCCGGACACGGCGGAGCCGCAGGCCAGCTGAAGTCGTGGGGCCAGGGAGCTGCTGACTGATTTAAAGAGAGCCCTTGTGTGTGCAGCCAGCGTGCCGCCCTGGGGGACTTGGAGGGGGCGCCGTCCCCGGGGTGTGGGAGGGGTTCTGGCTACGCGCGGTGCGTCCTCGTAGGTGGGGGGGCTACGATTACGTAGGCTATGTCCCCATGGGTGGGCTGGGCTACGACCACATCGTGTGGGCGAGGCTCTGCCTACATAGGGTGGGAGGGGCTGCATTTATGTAAGGCTTTTCCCCGTGTTGGGAGGGGCTCCGTCTACCTGAGGTGTGTCCCCGTGGGTGGGAGGGGCTGTATCTACATAAGGTGTGTCCCCATGGGTGGGAGGGACTACAGTTACCTAGGGTGCGTCCCCAGTTTGCAGCAGGTTGGACAGAAGTTGTGGGTGAACAGGGACACACCAGAGGGACGAGCAGTCTTGTAGGACTGAGGTACAGGATGGGGTGGCCCCTCACCGCCCCTGCCCTGAGGCCACAGCGGATTCCCCCTTCTCCACGCCTATCTTCCTGTGGTCCCAGCGCCTGGACCTAAGCCCCTGCCTGCTTCCTTCTGGGGAGGCGAGTGTGGGCATTAGTGAACCAAACTTGGGTCTGCACACCCACCACGCAGCAAAGCCAAGCTCCTCACACCATGTTGTGGGGACGGAAAGCACAGGTGTATTTGTAGGGCACCAAGCAAAGAGTAGGGTGCTTGTGCTCAAGGCCCGAAGTCCCAGATGGCTTTTAGAAGCAACACGTGGGGTGAGGCTCAAGACTGCATGATTTTCTTCAGGTTGTGTTGCAGAAAAATGTGTTACAGCTCGGTGTTTCAGCTCAGTTGTGACAGCAACCTGGATCCGGGTGAGAAACCAAGCAGCTTTCGGAGAGTTGGAGAGCTCAGGTTTATTACGCCAGCGGGCCCAGAGGAGTTAACGCTCCAAGCTCTGCACCCCGTGTGTAGGTTTACACAGGCTCTTAGAGGCTGCCAGTTTACACTTTGCAACATCATATGCAAATAAGGCATAACAAAAGTTGACTAATTAGGAACAAGCTTTGTAGAAATGGACCAATCAGGAGGGAGAGAAGTAACCAATCAGGAGTGAGCTCCAGGCAAATGAAGTACTATAAATGGACCAATCAGGAGTTAGCTTAGGGAACCAATAGAATTTCAGGGGTAAGTCCCCCTTTCCTAGAAGTAAACCTTTTCAGAGGCAGAAAGTGAGATGAGGCCACTGGGCCACGGAGCCTGGTGTGCTGTCAGGAGAGTAGTGGCGCTGCCTAGGGGTCCTGCCTGGGGCTCCTGCCAGTCTTTTTATGGGGCTTCCCGCCTCAGTTGGTCGGGGATGCTCCCAGGAGTGTCAGGAGCCAACCTTCTGGTTCCAGCCTGGGGTCTCAGCACGTGGTCACCGTCGCCCACCGGGGTGAGCACAGCTCAGAGGTCTGGGTCAGACTGCCGTGTACATCCCGCGAGGAGAAACGAGGATTCTGTTTTAGCACTGATTTATTGTTCAAACTGTCCGGCGTAACGGCTTCTCCTTTGTTTCTGTGTTCCCTTACTTCCCTAATCAGCAGCAGCTTGAGTCCGCTCTCTGGAACTCAGGGAAGGCCTAGGAGACGAAAAGCCTTTTTGACAAACAAGAAATGGGGGACACAGAGCGGCTGTTGAACCTGGAGGGCCCCGAAGGTCCTGCTCGGTTTCACGGGGCTGACACTTTGGGAGGCCTCGCTGTCAGGAGGGCTCGGGCCTGGGCAGGCACCGCCCCGCTGCTGGGACGAGAGCTCGGGAGGAAAGGGAAGAGCAGCTCTTGTTCCTGAGTGAGGTGGGTGGTCCTGCTTGAGAGCCTGTCCTGAGTTGATGAAGTGCCTCGTGATAAGATGATCACTCTGCCTGATGGCTTACGTGTATCTGTGGAGTGCTCTCTCCCCGGCAGACTGCTGGGGAGACCGTCCCTGCCAGTCTCAGAAGGTAGTAAGTCATTTCACAGCACACCTCGCTCAAGCAGCAAGAAACCGCCCCCTGACTCGGAACGCAGGGCGGGGGACGGCTGGCCCAGCATGTGGGGGTGCCAGCTGGTGCAGCCTGCTGCATGTCCTCTCACACGGCCTTTCTCTCCTGCCCTTCATCCACCCAGTTCCTCCCTGGAACATTTGTCCTGTGGCTTTCACACACACTGACATCAAAATTATGATCACGTGCTGTAGTCACTGAGGGCTACAACCAAGGTCAGCCTGCTGAAGTTTGGCCATAAAACAGGAGCGACTGGGAGTGGCCTGAAAACCGTGGAGGAGTCTACAAGGTGCCAGTCCTGGTCCGCAGTCCAGCAGTCAAAGCTGCGGCCCCGGCCGGCCCTCAGCGGACTGTGAGGTTCAGGGAGGAGCAGTGCAGATGGCAGCAGAGAGCTCTTCACTGAAGACAGAGCCGGGGCAGCGGGCCTCTCATCCAGAGTGTGGGGTCTGCGCTGGCCTTGGCCACACCGGGGTCATGCACAGCCACAGCGGGGAGCCTGGCTTGCCCAGCCAGGGGGCAGGGCCTGGACGCTGCCGCGTTCACAGCTGGTTCTCGTCTCTGGTCTTCATGTGAAGGGACAGGCCCCCCTTGCAGGCTGACTGATCCTGAGTGTCCCAGCACTGTTGCAGACTCTGGGCCCTAGTGGATGACTAGCAGAAAGAGACGGGAGGGCCCTCACCGTGCGCTCGAGCCAGGTCCACAGACCAGGCGGGCTAATGGTTGTTTGGGTGGGGGTGTGACTGCTCACCGGGACTGGCTTCCTTCTGGGCTGATGGAAAGTTCTGGAACTAGATGGTGGTGATGGCTGTGAATGTGCTGATTGCCACTGAATCGTCTGCTTTGCAGTGAATATCTCATGTGGATTTCACTTGAGTTTTTAAATCTTTGGGCAAAAGAGGAGAAGAGGAGGAAAGAGAAGAAAGAGGAGGTGGCCGTGGGGACCCTCAGGGCCTCAGACAGAAGACAGGCTGAGGAGGACAGGCTAGCCCCATTCCAGCAACACAAGACGCACGTACCAGATTGAGACGAGTGTGGATCCCAGGACACTGAGCGGCTCGTGGGCTTCACTGAGTCTGCTTCCTGGGACAGGTGCTCACTGATTCCCGTGATAAAGAGGGCTAGGAACCCTGGCGGGAATGCTCAGACGCTGGGCCTTTGGTCTTGGAATCTCTGCCCTTTGTCCTTTGTTTATCGCAGTGGCCGTGGGGACTCCGTGCAGCCAGCACCTGCCCTCACCTCTGCAGGCTCCCCGTTGGCTTGTCTGCTGGCCCACCACACTGGTGAACATGCTGAGCAAACACCTAACAGGCGAGACAGGGCGCTGGCGCCACCCCTGCTGTGAGGACCCTGGCTCCCTGCGTGCCCTCTGCACGCGTCCTTCTTGGACTG